TCTTTCTCTTTCTCACAGAGGAGAAATGCCAAAAGTACATTCTGAAGCAGCAGCAGGAGGAGTCTGAGAAGCCCTTACAGGTGGCCGCTGTGGACAGCAGCGTCCCCCGGACGGCAGAGCTGGCGGGCATCACCACACTCGACGACCCCATGGGTAAGGGCCTCTACGTCTCCCCTGATCCAGGTGCGACAGGTGGGCCGTGGGACACGGTGGTGTGTAGAGCATGACTGTTGAAAGCAGATGAACTGTGGCACTTTGGGTGAGTCACTTAATCTCTCCGAGCCTGTTTCTTCACCTAAGAAATGGGAATAATAATAATAATAATAGTCCTGCCTCCGGGTGGGTATGAAACTCTTATGAAATGATGTGTCTGTCTCGTGGTGAACCCAGGGCTTGGCCCAGGGCAGGGGTGCTGGGGGGAGGCTCATCTTTCCTCTGCTGGGGACAGCACTTTTCCTGAGTAGTGACATCACAGGGTTGGTTTGGGGACCAGGACCAGGGGGCTCCTGCCCTGCTGGGGGCTCCTGGTTGGCCTTCTCCCCAGCCTTCCACAGAGCTCTGACCGTGATCCTTATTCTCTGCACCCAGGGCAAATGCCTGAGCGATTTGATGCCTTCATCTGCTACTGCTCCAACGACATCCAGTTTGTACATGAGATGATCCAGCAGCTGGAACAGACAAACTACCGGTTGAAGCTGTGTGTGTCCGACAGGGATGTCCTGCCCGGCACCTGTGTCTGGTCTATTGCCAGTGAGCTCATTGAGAAGAGGTTGGCTCAGTGGCCAGGGAGCGAGTGGGTGGGGTGCACAAGGCCGGGCCCTGGGACCCAGAGGCTGGGATTTCCCCAGCTGGGCCCTGTCTAGCCTGGGCACAGTGGGCTCCTCCCCAGGCCGTCCCTTGGGTTGCCACAGTGCCTCCACTCTTCCCTAGGTGCCGCCGGATGGTGGTAGTTGTCTCAGATGATTACCTGCAAAGCAAGGAATGTGACTTCCAGACTAAGTTTGCACTCAGCCTCTCTCCAGGTAAGCTCAGTCCTTCCCTTGCCACAGAAGGGTAGGTGGGTGGGGCTTCAGGATGCCAGCCTGCCTTCCCCAAGAACCGTGGATGCAATACCGAGGAACTCCTGGGGGTCACTCCTGGGGGTCACGGCACACCTGAGTGCCTTTTGTGTGGGTGAATGCGTGCCAGGGATGCTTCGTTGAGGGAGGGCTGTTGTTAACCCTTTGAGTGCCGACCAATATCCTAGGAACAATGCTAAAATTGCCAAGGCATTTTTGCTGATTTTACAGCAGTTTAGGAAAAAAATTATGAGTCGCAAGTAAATGAATTTACGTATTCAAAAACTGAAGGAAGCCTTTACTACATTTGTTTTCATCTTTGACATATATTGTTTGCTGATTGTATTATAAAATACTAGTAGAAAAAAAATTTGAACAAAATGTATAATGTTAAAATAGAGGGACACCCTTCTCCT